CTCATTACCATTAGTTATAGATTGTGCTGAAAATGATTTTGTGAATTAATATGTAAAACCAGTAGGGTTGTTTTTAAAAAAATATAAATTTTAGTCCATAATACATATACTCTCTTCTCTCTATATAGGCAAAGCATTTAGGTATTATATTTGAAATTAATTATTGCCACAACAAGCATTGTTGCTTCTAGTAAAATAGAAGAGAATAATTTTTAAAATTGGTCTTAGATTAAGGTCCTTGAAAATTTTGTTGAGGTCCTTGAAAAGTCCTGGAAAGTCCTTGAATTTCAATCTCATCATAGAGTGGGAACCCTGGAAATTAAAAAAAAAATTTTTTCTATTTTCTTAGAAAATTATATGGTGTAAATATTTGCAGCTGTTACCTTTATAATGATCTGTACAATAACTTTAATAAAAAATGAAAGAAATTTTGATTGATCCTTAATTGTTGTAATACAATTTATTTTTGATAAATTGCTAAAAAATACAATTATAAGCCACAATGACTCAATTGTTTAAGCCTTACACTGTAATTGTGAAAGATCAAGCATCTATCAATATTTGGGTTTAAATTGTTGTATTTTAAAAAGCAATCAGAAAAGTTACTGCTCTTCACTGTCATAGATCTTAGAAAAAACTTTTTAATTTTTTTATGCAAAGTGTAAATTTTTTTATTCATATTTTTTCAGTATGATCATTCCTAGAAATAAAACTGCAGCCAGTTTGTCTGAAAGTGCAAAATTAGCTCTGCACGATGATGCCTTAGCCCAGTAAGTCTTGTTTACTTGTTCAAATTAAATGCATATAAATATTTTATCTGTTAAAGTTATGTTAATAACAATATTGTTTGAATGTGGTGCTGTTTATTTCATAACATTGTAACACTTTCGAGTCACTTACATTTTGGTGCTTTTCTTTGGGTCGGAAAACAATGAAGATGTTCATTGATTGTTACTTTTAGTCAGAAAAAGTAACAGTGGTTACTTTTGTAACAAAATAGACTGACTTAATAAAACAAGTTACTTTCAATTTTATTCCAGCCACTTTTGTTTATATTCATTAAAATTCTGATTGCAGAAGCTGCCTACGAAATCTATTTTTTTGTAGAAGTTTCCCTCTTAAAATAGTTGGGAGATATACAGTTTTTATGTTTCTTATTTAAAATAGTCAAAAGTTTTCAGATCCTTTTATCCCACTTAGAATTTTTTTTTTTTAACAAAAATCATTAAAAAATTACATGATAAAAGATTTTTGCAAAATTTATTATCTAAATTTTTATTTACTATCTAAATTTTTGAGAAACTATCCCTTACCTGTCAAGTCTCCTGTTTTTTAACAAAGACTCCTGTATTTTACAACTATCTCCTGTTTACCCGTATATTCTCAAATTTCTTCGTGTTTGTTGAAGAAATTTTTCCAAACAATTTTGATGATAAAATATCAGCTAATGGCAAAAATACTTCTCTTATTCCTTTCTCCTGGTACTATTGCCAGTATTGCAGTATGTTGAGTGTTAATAGTTTAAGTAATTGTAAATAATGGTTTAGAGAAATCTTCTTAAGATTAAGATTTATATACATATTTTTTACTTTGCTAAATGTAAGTACCGTAATTTATGGAAGAAAGGCCGCGGCGCTTACGTGTTTAAAAGTTTTAAAATTTTAATTGCGGCGTTAATGCCGGTTGCGGCGTTTACGATATTTTAAAAATAAATTTTTCATTTTTCAAAAGAAATTTTTTTTAAAATCAAAATAGTTGCGAATTATGGCAAAAGATGGCGCCACTATTGATAACCAACCACCCCTTAAAGAAAGTGGGTTGATCTCGATCTAGTTCCCACCAAACCGCGTGTTTGATAGCTCTTTCACATTTTTTCTCACTTTGTTACAACGTGCTTTGTGGAGAAATTAAATTGCGGAAAGTTTTCTTTTTAGTATTTGCTAATATTTATACATCGTTGTTATGGACGCGACTTATAAACTGATATCTTCTTATTTAAATAAAAAGAGGTATATTTCCAAAAAATAAATAAATTAAATTAAAAAAAATATTTATAAAATATAAATATGTAGTACAGTATGGAACCCGAAATTCGGCACTTAATCCGACCAAAATTTTTTCTTTCTTTTTTCTTTTAAAGAAATTTTAATGATAAGAGGGGAAAAAAAAGTAATATTTCGTTTTATTTGGATTTTTTTTCTCTTGAAGGAAGTAACTATATTTTATCTTTTAAAAATAAAAACATGAAGAGAAAAAATAATAAATCTGTATCAAACAAAACATAATTGAAAAGTAAAAACATCTGCATTTCCAATGAACAAAATAAAGAAATGCTAGTTGGGAGAAACTGATGAATCAATCTTGACAAGTGCTTTACTGGTTTTGTCCCCCTCCCCCATTTCCCTCTTCTGTTTGACCATAAATTAGCCACACCCTTTTGACATTGAAACTTCTTTCTCACTTGGTGTACAAAATGAATTCTATCCCTTTTGCTGCTTTTTTTTTTTAAAAAAAATTCGATTTATTTATCCTTTTATTGCTTATTAACTGTTAATTTTTTTTGCTACACTTGTTAACTTGGTTTTTTTTTATCGTTATTAGTTGTTTGCTTCTTTTTTGTAGTTATTCATTGTTAGGTTCTTGCCATTAATTGTTACTTTTTTTGTAGTTCCTTGTTAGCTTTTTTTTTTCTTCCGAGGTGAGCATCTTTTGTTAAAATAAAATGTTATGTAAAAGAAAAAACGAGAACAATGATCTCGCTCTGAAGAAGAAACGATTATTTCTTTTTCGGATTATTTCATCTTGAATTATTTATCCTTCGGATTATTTCTTCTTGATTATATCTTATAGATTATTATTTTAATCAATGAAATTTCTAAAGATGGGACAGTTTTAAATTCACCCCACCAAAATCTACGATTGAAGCTTAGCTAAATTTATTGGTTCTTCTGAAATTAACAGCGTAATTGAATTATCGTAATATACGGGCACCATATTGGAATTTCCGGAAGAGATCCAAAATTCTGCAAATTCCGAAATACGGAATTTCGTCGGTCCCGTGAGTGTCGAATTTTGGGTCCTATACTGTAATGTTAAAAAAATCATTTATATTAAAGTAATATAAATATAGTTATTTAAATTTTTTACCTAACGATGGCACCAACAGCTGATTGTAACATGTTGTTCTGAGCAGTTTGTCCAAAATATACAATAGCAGATTTCAAAATTGATTTTATTATAATTATACATTTATAAATTTTAATTTATATTTTAATTTAAAACATTAGTAGTATTTATAAGGAATTAATGTTATATATTCACTTTTGCCGCTAAATCGTTATTATGGGTGCGGCGTTTACAACATGTGTGGCGTTTACCATGATTTTTTTCTTTTAAGTCTCATTATCACAAGTGCGGCGTTTACGATAGGTGCGGCATTTCTTCCATAAATTACGGTACTTATATTATTTCCAATTTTAACTTACATGGTTATGCATGATGTATCAAAACTTTGCTCGTAGCCCCCCAAAAAATGTTGCTAGTAAAATCCCCGTTATTTTATTTCTCCAATTTTGGCAGGCATGCAATCCTTGCACTAATATGGGTTTGATTTCAGAAAAGCGCAATCAGTTACTTTCTTAATTCTTACATATTCATTCATTCTTGCATATTCATACATAATTCTTTCACATTCATTCATTACAAGTTCATTTCGTTTTCTAAACGTCTACTAAAATAATAATAAGTTCATTTTTCAAAGACATAAAAAAAAATCTCATGATGGCCGTTACAAATTTTGCCTGGGCTGTACTTGTACAGTGCGCCCAAAAAAAAGGGACAACCCTGAATAACTTTTTATTCAATTATTATATCTTCACAGTCTTGGACTCAATCTTAATGGTTCGAGGGTATAACTTACGATATGCAAATAATTAGTTCCTATGATGTTTTAAGATAAGAAGAAATCAGACAAAAAAAAGTACTTCCTCTACATAAACAATCCCCCCCCTTTTTTTTGTTGACAGATTCAGACTTTTGGTCCCCCAAAATATGTCCCCATAGTTTGGTGGAGAGTGATCCGAAATTTGGACCCCTTAATCCCATATTTCAAAAAAATTTTAAGTGAATTGAAACACTTTTTCACACAATTATAAAATTCGTTTATCTGAAGATAATGCCAGGCAAAAAATAAATTTTCGTAAATATTAATTATTTTATTCAAGAATAGACAAAAAAATTTTTTAATTTTAAGTTATGCCATTTTTTACATCATTTTAAAGTATATAAATTTACATTTTAATTATGTAAAATTACAAATTTGAGCAAAAACGGTGAATAGTTTCTGAGAAATCGAAATTTAAAGAAGTCGTGTATCGTGGTTCCCATGGTACTTGAAAAACCTTGAAAGTCCATGAATTCTTTTGAAAAAAATCAGGGCCCTAAAAAGTTCTTAAATTCTGCCATAGGATACTTGAAAAGTACTTGATTTTTTTTTTTTTGGAATTAAAATAATACTAATCTTTCTTACAAAAAAAACAGTAAAAATAATAATAAATAAATTTCAATGAAAATTATAGAAATTCTGGTAGATGCAATGTTTAATGATTGAAGAGTGAAAAGAGGTTAAAAAAGATACAAAACTTTTCTCTTCTAGATTTTTCACTCCAGATTATTGTTCATCTCTAATGTTAAGAAAGCTGAAATTTCTAGCAAATTTTAGTTTTTCTAGTCATAGTTTCTGAATGATAATTAGTGTTTCATCAATTTAAAATTATATTCGATGTGTTAACTTCATTATTATGACAGGTTAATATTGTTATCCTATTTGTTTTTTAATTTTTATCAAAAGGATCATTAATTTGTTATCATATAAAATCAAATTTTTACATTTAGTTTTTACTGCTAATAAATGAAATTTTGATCTAGATATCTTGAATTATGAATAAAAATCGTGATTCACATTAAACTGATTCTTGATTTATGGATCGGAATTCATATAAAATGTTCTACGAATTGAGATTCAAATTAAAGTGATTAATAAATCGTTTATCGAATATTGCTTTAAACTGATTTGCAAATTACTCATCAGAATTCGTATCAAGGTATTTTGTAAATCACAAATCATGATTCACATTAAAATGGTTTATCAAGCACACATCAAGATTTCAATTAAAGTTATTTCTGAATCATGTAACGTGATACGTGTTTGAGTAATTTCGGAAGTGTGCATCACAATTCTTATTCAAGTGGTTTACTTGGTATTAGAAGGATTTTAGAATTACGCATCGCGATTCACATAAAAGAGATTCAAGAATTAACGCTTGCAGTTCTCATCAAAACGATTTATGAATTGCACATAGTTGTTTTAAATAAAGCCACTTTCGAGTCACAAATTACAATTTTCTTCATAATGATCACTATTTACATAAAAATTATTAGCTTATCATGCAACAGAATTCACATTAAAGTGATTTATCTTACATCATGATTTACATCTTGTTAGTTCTTGCCTTTTGTAACATTTCTATTAATATTGTTCTGATTTAAACATTCACCGCAATTTGATTTCAATTTACAAATCGCAAATTGTGATGCGTGATTTATGCAATCTTTGAGACTTTTTTCACCTTTCTTATAATTTTTATTTACGTATAGTGTATCTAGATTTGTATAAATGTGATTTTTAAAAATTACACATGTTCATAAAATTAAAAATCACGCTTCGCATTTTATGGATCTATTTTAAAGAAAATGAAGCTTCGTAAGTCTTAGTTATCTGTAAAATATTGTTCTACAATAAATTTCATTATGTTCAAAATACATTACTGATATTCTGAAGTAACAAAATCGATAATTTGCTATTAAAATTGCAACAGATGTGCTAAATGCATATATTTTGATATTTTATGTAATTATATTCATTTCCCGTAATCTGAAATTTGGATTTAACATATTAAAAAAAGTATTTATATTTTTATAAAGGTGCAATTACATAAACTTTATCAATTATTTACTATGCTTGTTTAATGTAATATTATTTTTCATTAATTCTAATTTACTTCATCAAATTTTTCATGAAAAATTTCACAGGTGCCAGTTTTTAAGTGTTTGCTAGTATTACTTGCTAGTATCAATTGGAGTTTTTTTAGTCAATTTATATCAATTGGAATTTTTCAAAGTGATTTGAAGCTGCCCTATAACTATCAACCATTTGCATTAGTAGCTGATAAATTAAATTATTATTAATATTATCAATTTGTCAAACAAGCATTGTGCTTTGAAAATATACAATTTCTGCTGCAACGTAATTATAAAATCTGGTTGACATGTACTTTAGTATATTAAGTGTAAAAATGAATGGGTCCTTTAATGATTTGATTTTATGTCCTTGAAAGCTATTGAATTTTTTTTCGAAAATTGAGTGGGAGCCCTGTTATTTAAAATTTGATTTCTAAGGAATTATTCAACAGATTTCGCTCATATTTTGTTCTAAAGTTATGAATTTTTTCAGCATTTCAAAAGTTACTTGATTAGTTTGATTGCATTATTTTTACGAGAAAAATCTAATTAGCTTATGTTTGCAATTTTTTTAGGTTTCATAATAATTTTATTAGTTTTTAAATAGGTTTTTGCGTTTTCTTTCTTGTTTTTAAATTTATATATTTTTCTTTTCAGTTTAGCTAAAGCTAAAAAATTTGTTGAGGATGCTGACTTCAAAAGTGCTGAAGATGCATTTGAAAGTAGTTTAAAATGCTGGCCCGATTTTTATAAAGTGTATGAAATGAGAGGTCAAATGTAAGTAAATGCACCCTTTTTATTTTGCAGTTCAATATTTTCCCAGTGTCTGGAAGCATTTGTAATTTTATTATTACAATTACTTTTCATGTACAATATTGCTTTTCTGCTGCATAAAAATGAAGCAAGGTTTATTATAATCTTGCATTATATTACTTGTTTTTTTCTATCAATCGTTCGATCAAAAGTTACTTATGGTGTTTAGTTTTTTCCTGTCCACTCGTTATAAAAAAAGACTGACACCCTCAATTTGCATTTTTTAGATCTTTATTGTTCTTAACAATTTTATTTTGACGTATGTATAGAATTTTGTTTTATTTGAAAATTCCTTAACTTGATGTGTATTAACTTTTTTTCTAATGTTTTAGGTATCTTGACCTGTGCAAGAAAAAAAATAGAAGAGGAAAATTTCTTTATAAAGCAGTGATAAATTTTGAAACAGCACTTGAGATTAATCCCAGTACACTTGAGTCAAAAAAGTGTTTATCAAAGATTTTCAGCTATGTATCAAAGAGGTATGATATTCAAGTATTGTTCTCTGGATTATAAAAAAAATTAAGTATAGCATGATAGTTACGTTTAAAACACTTTGTTTTAAATTTGTTTAAAATGTTGAATAAAATACACCTTTTTTCTGCCACATGTATTACCAAGAAAACTTAACATGATTGATTTTGTTCTTTGAAGCAATTCATATGATTGCTGAACAGAAAATAGGAGAAAGCTATTTCTGCTGTTGAAGCTATGAAAATTAAGTGTTTCTCTGAAGAATTAGAAGTACTATGTTATATTGACATTTCCCCTTAATCTTAGCAATTAAGCTATGAAATATAAAAGATTATACTTTAAAAATATATATTATCTGTATCTCAAGATAATTGTGTTTTAAAATAAGTTTCTTGTGGTAAAAAAGTTTCAAGTTTAAATAAATAAAAATAAAGTATGTATGAAAAATATAAGTAGGAACTAATGGTATGAAGAAAATATAAGCATAATATAATGAATATTTATGTAGAAATATGATGTAAGCAAAATAGTTATTTTTCAGCCCAGGCATAGAATTTTTATACCCATTTTTTCATGAAAGTAAAAAAAAAATTTTAATATAAATTGAACGAGAAGTCTTAAACAAATTCAATTTTAAGTGTAATGTTACCTATTTCCATTCAGATATTTCTTGTGTACTACGAAAAACTGAAATTAAACAAGCTGTAAGTTGGGCAGAAATATAGTAGGTTAAAAGCAAACAGTTCATTGAAATAAACTTTTTTATATTTATGTTTTATTATGCTTATTAATTTAGGTGGGTATTATAATAATTTAGAGCTATATTTTTATTTATATAAATATTTGTTAGAATAAAGGACTTAAAGCTGTTATGTCTCCAAACGTAGGAAGTTATGTACGTGTATTTTAAGAAATTATATAAATTATTTGTTTAATATGTAATTTACAACTCTAAAATCCATACTAATCAAATCCAATGAATATAAATTGAATTAAATGTCTATAAATCAAAGATTTCTCAGGTTGCATATATTAAAAACTTCATATTACAGAGTACCAGCTTACATACTAATCTTGACTAAAATTAATAAAGTAGGTATCCGATGTTCTAATGAAGTGAACTCTAAGTAACTTAAATCAGACTTGAGACACTTAAAGAACTCAAACTAGTAACTCAAAGCAGTTAAGCGGAACTGTGAAGCATGGAAGGTTGGCGAGCACGGCAAGCAGGGTGGGGGAGCATCGATTTAAAATGCATGTGTTTTCTTCATTTATTGAAGTTTCAACATGTACTTTTAAAATCATTTTAAATTTAAATTCTTTTAAATTCATTTTATATTTAAAGATTCAATGTGATGCGTATCTAATTAGTATTAATTATTTAATTTTCAGCTCATTTCTTTTACATTCAAAATTAACTTTGAAATAATTTTTGAAATAATCTTTTTATTGTAATTTATTTATTTTCAATTGCAATTTATTTATTTTCAATTATTTTAATCATCAATTTTTTAAAGATTCTTTTTTTAAAAAAATCTTCCTTTAAATATTCTTGAATGTTATTTATTATATTATTTTCTATTGTCTTACAATCATTTTATGCATGAAAACTTTACATAATTTAATGAAAAATTAGTCTGTGACTATATAATTTTTTTATATGGAAGTTAATTTTGAGAATAGCTTCTATACATTATATTTATTATTCTTGGTTGCTATTAAGCGTGTTACAAATTTCTGCTTGACCAGAAGAGGACATTGTAATCACTCAACAATAATTCTGTAATCACTTATGTGGCAAGCAATGGATTGAATTGGGTGGTTCATTGGCGAGCCCCATGTTGTATTTTCGTGTCATATCTTTTTATTGTTTATTAAATTTGGTTGTTATTAAATATTGTTTCTTCAATTAATGCACCCATTCACCACTGAATTATTTTGAAACAAAGCGTATCGATATTGAATCGTATTAATATCATGCAATAAATCAATATTGCAAAATATAAATATTTTATTAATTTTACAGGTTAGTTAAAAACAAAGAACATGATTCAGCAAAAGAATTAGTACAAACTAGTTTGAAGCTTTTCCTCAAAAATAATGAAGCAACTACTGTGCTTCGATGTATTGATGTGAGTATATGTGATTTAGTTTTGCAAAATGAAGATCTTTCAACAATAATGTGTTGTTTTTTTTGGCTCAATAAAAACTTGAATTTTTAAATTTAAAAAGTTTTTTTTAAAAAACATTGAATTGTGGTTAAGTTATTTAATAATTGTTAGTTTATTAGCACAAAGAGTTCATAAATGAGTTGATTATTAATTTAATGAAAAAGCTGTGTGAGTAGAACGTCTACTGATATGTTATTCTGTTATAAAAAGTTATATGAATTTAAAATTTTGATTTATGTAGGGGCTGTGGTTTCACTTACTCAATACTAATAAATTTAAAGGCAGATGATTGGTAGGCTATTTTCTTTCACTTGGGAACATCTTTTAATGGTTACCTTTGGCCTTAAGGTATTTCTCTAGTGTTATTTTGGCAATAAAAAGTATTTATTTTCAGAATCAAATCAATGTCACTTTCTTGACATCCATTTTTGTCATTATTCTGTTTAAATTATTTTCACTTATAAAATGTGAAGCAGTTAACAGTTCTTCATCCATTTCTAAGAAGCCTGAAAGAGTTACTTGAGTTTGTTATTTTATTTTTTTCAACTAATAATGATGCATAATATTAATAACATAAAGTTTTTAAAAATTTTAAAATTCTGACTTTGAATTGCAAATTTTTTCGAAAATTTTAAAGATGACTGTATGAAAAATTCGCTACAACTGCTTTATTTTATGTAGAATATTTTGAATATTATTTATGCTCGATTAAAAATTCTGTTATAGGGAGAAATTTGCTGGAGGGGGACTTTATTGTAGAAAGTCTTCATTGTATTTATATTTATAAATGTATTTTCATATAATTTCCATATGTTTTTATAATTAAATTTACTAAAATATAATTTTCGTTTCATACTTAAAGAATGCCACTTATGTTGTAATTGAAGATGATGCAGATCTCCAGATTTTGAAGATGAAAAAGAAACTACTTAAAAAAGAATTGGAAAAAGAAACACAAATGGACTAACATTCTGATTCTATAAAAGATGATATAAATATATATGACACTGACATATATGAACTTAGAATTTATTTAGATATTTGTTAGCCTTACTATGCTACAATTTACAGTTGATTATTTTTCTGTAAGATTCATGAAATGTAGAATTTTTTATAATGATGTCATGGGATATAATTGAAGTTCCAAGAACTGTTTCTTTCTGTAATTAAATTTTCCTATTTTTTAAATGTTACTTTATATTTAAGTTATTGTTTAAATATGTCTTAGTTTCAGAAAAACAACTGTTCTATAAGAAAGAGATATCTGTGTGTTATAAGAGAAGTGCCTCTTTCATGTTTATATGCTTATTTAATAATGTAGCTGATCTGTTTCAACTGTTTTTTTTTTACTCTTTGTTTAACTGTTTACATTTTGACAATTGTTGTACTGTGCTTACCATGCAAGTTGTCTTTTTTTTAATGTTATACAGAGTCATAACTTTTTTCAAGATTGATTATTTTACAGTGATTTTACTAGTGCAATAAATATTGTTTTTTTATGTTATGTTTACCCTATGAAGATTTCAAGGCACATTTATTTTGCAATACGAAGCTTACCTTTATTGTTTTCTTATTCAGTAAAGAATTACTGTGTTACATGAAAATGTAATCTAATTAGCACAATAAATATTGTCTTTTTATTGTTGTGAATATTTTATTACTTAGAATTAAAATTGGTACATAGACTTCACTGGGGTTTCAAAAACTATGGGTACTTCTTAAACTTGGACACCGTTTGGTGTTTCCTGTTTAAAATAATACTAATCAAAACATTTTAAATTTTCAAAAATTACAAAATTATATGTGAAATAAATTTGCTCTTCAGATGATATTTCAAAAATTTAAAAAGAAAAAAAAAAGCTGGATTAAGGAAAGACAAAGGTAGTCAATAAAAAGGAAAAAAATAAGAAAATTAATCTGCGATATTAAGCAGACAGTAAATTCTCTACCTTTTTATCTATCAATGTTTGTATTTATAAGAATTCTGTCTATTAACAGGCAAAACTGAGACTTTAAAATCAATAAAGAGATATTTGATGTCAATGTTTTTAGTTAGAACTCTCACTTGCATCAAGGAAAAGCTGGAAAGTAATTTAACACTCAAATTTATTTCCATTTCCCCTATTAAATTTTTTTTTATAAGTTAGATTTCAAAAAAAATTTTTTTTTAAAGTTTTATTTTATTTTGCCTACATAAATCTATTGGCACACTATTTTTCCCAATGTAGAATTATGTGTCCTACATGATCCCTAATTCTGCATTGTGAAAATTGTTTTGTACCGCTTCAATGATATTCGACCTACTAAGGTTAATTTGTAATTTTTTATTTGTGTTTATTTTTTTTATTATGTATTTATAGCTGTATCCATTTTCTTATTGCAATTACTGGGATTGAAAAGTGGAGTGAGCAGCGATCATTGCCTCTTATTTTTTTAAAAAATTAATTTCTATACTATATGTAAGAATTAATTTGAAATGGGCAGAAAGGAATTTTTGAAATATTATATTTTTTAAATTATTTAACTCCTACGATAGTATATTTTCATATATTAAGCATCAATTAACAATACTTTCTCTGGGTGTTAATCTTATGATAAGTTAAAAATAATTGCAAAAATGATGAAATATTTCATCACAATATACAGTCTTTTTTTTTTTTTTTTTTTTTTTNCATGGAAAATTGTGCACAGCAGTTTTTTTTTTTTTTTTTTTATAAAAAAACGTGTTTATTATCATTTTTACGTGATGATCATATCACAACAAAATGTGTGTTAATATTGATATTAGAAAATTTTTATAGCTGATATTAAAGTGTTAAAAGAAATGAAATGTATAAAGATCCTTTTGATCTGCAAACTTCTAACCTTGTAGAATAATTAGTTTTAGAATAATATCTAATTAATTGATGAATATTTAATTATTTAAAATAAAATTAATAATATTTAATTATTCCGGCTTAATTTTGTGTTTTATTTAATGCTTTAAATTCTTTTGCTTCTTCTCTCATTTACCTATGAGAATACTAACTCAAATATGACAGATTTTATGTGATTTATTGTAGTTTAACTTTGTTTAAAGCACTTTCCAGTGAACAATTTGTTACAGTTAATGTTGTTAGCAGTCAATAAAGTAAAAATAAATAAAATGGAAAACATAAGGATTCGTTCATTAAGTGAATTGGTTTTATTTATTTTATTTTATTATAAATTTTATGACATTTATTTTGAATGTCATAAAATTGATCAAAATAACCCCCCAAAAAATTTGAAACTAATGTTTTAGTTCAACAAATGTCCTGGTTATGAATGTCTTTTTCTTAGCAAAATTTTTAGTTGAACATATAATAAAAACATCTGGAAAGAATAATTCCCACCAAAAACAAAGATCTAAAAGTATCCCCCCCCCCAACAAAAAAAGATTTTGAAATCTACCAAAAAATTCTCGTTTGCCTCAAACTAAACCACTAATGGGAAATGGTCTCCTCTTATTTGTTATTTTTTGTAATTGTAAAGAAGAACATTGATGATACAATAAATTTGACTGGAAAAAATATCCTCTACCAAAAAAAAATTTTAAATTTTGCCTCCTTAATTATTAAATACCCTCAAATGCTCCAAAATATTTCTATCTAATTTGCAGTTTTAAAACAAAATTACATAAAATACTTTTTAAAAAAAAGAAATTCCTTACCAAAAAATGGTAATAGAGATTTGCACCCCTATTTGAGTATTAATCAAAAGAGAGTAGGTTCAAGTACCACTAAAAAGAGAATGGTTTTAAGTGCCTATCAGAGATTGACTGGCCCACTGGGTCAATATCCCTTAGTGCTTTCTAAACTGGTGGCCTCCAGCCAACACCTCCTAGAAAAAAAAGGCCTCAGCACGGATCAATTTAGTAGTCTGACATAACGAACATAAACTGCTCAAAAGGATGAAAAATAAGAAAGATGTCGCTATGTTCGGGCTACTAAGCTGCGTAATGATGGTAAAGACGAAAGATGTCATTACGTTTGGATATACTAAATTATCAAATTTCTTGTTTATGGTACTACGTGCTGAGGCCTTCTCTTTTCTAGGTGTTGCTCCATCTCGGTTAATCTACGCTGAAGAAAAAAATTTGCTATTATTTTTGTTTTGAATGTTCTTTTTTTTGGGAAAAATGTTCTAAATGAATGATTTGTAATAAATTTTTATTCTTTTTACAAGTACTTTAAATAACTCGTCCTGCAGTGGACTGATCGTAAGAATGCGGCTCCCAGTAGAAAACCAAAGCCAAGCATCACTGGCTGCAGTCAGTAAGCGGGTGGGTGACCACTTTGACCAGCCTGCATTGGGAGACCGAGGGTGCGCGGTATCGGCCCTGTTCTATAGTAAAGTGCTCTAGTAAAAGCTCTAATAGTAAAAGCTCTAAATAGTAAAAGCTCTAGTGCGACGCAAATAAAGTACCTACCTTTATATAACATACAATCTAACAGTAAAAAAAATTTGCCATTTAAAAATTACTTTTCAAACTTATTATAAGGCCGGATTTACATATAAGCTAAATAAGCTGTAGATTGGGGCCCCGAGATGACAAGGGCCCCCAGATACTACTTTCCCCCCTCTTTTTTTAAAGTTTTATGCGGAGCTGGGGCCCTCAGAAGCCCAAAATGCATTTTTTTCCCCTTTTTTCATTGTCGGACATAATAAATACAAATAAATGACTGAATAAAACAAAAAACTTCGTTGTCATTAGTAGGGAACATATCATCTTTCAAGCAATTTGAGTATTAATAAATTATTTATAAATAAGAAATTTTTTAGTTTAAAAGGTAAAAAAGTTTTTTTTTACCCCATCATTCGATCATCAGGCTATTTAATATCTGTTTCTAAGGATCTGAATTCCCTTTTATTTTACTATAAAATTGTACAAATGATATATTTAATGCTTTCATGTGAAATGCAGCAGTTTTAAATAGCACTTTAAAATATCTAAAAAAAAGGACAGATATTGACAGTTCAAAATAAAAATAAAAATTAACTAATACTTTTGAATAAGAATTTAAACAAACGTTTGTTTTGCTATCTCATTCTATATAGCATTATTTATTAGAGTAGACAGTTGCGTGTGGGTGTGATGATGACGTAATAAAAGAGGCATACAAAAAAAGCAAATTTCATTTCAGTTAAAATCCTCAATATTATATTTTTAAACTCTTCGAAAATGTAGTAAAAGAGGTATACAAATTAACTGTCGCAAACAAATTAATATTAAGTAAGAACAAAACAAAAATGATATCGAAATATGCTGAATCACTAATGAGACCGGGATGAAAGACATCGAAACCTATTTGATTGAATAGTATAACTAGAAGGTGTTTCTAAAATTCTGAAATCTATCAGGCTTTAATTTTTTTTTCTGTCACAAACTTTATCAGTAATTAAAAATAATAAATTCGTTAGATTTCAATATTGGTTCTGTTTTTTCGTTGATTAAATGTTAAACATTAACAGATATTTGTCTTTTAAAACATTTCATTCTATAATAAGATAATTATTCTACAATTGTAATTATCTAAAACTAATTGCTAATTGATATAAAGCTTTAGTGTGTTCCATTGATATGTTGAATGCTCGTTTTGGCTGGATGCCCGGGACTGTTGCTCTTTCACATCCTAGCCACTATACACCATCAAGAGCAGAGCTGATACTTTAAACCCGTATGACATTTATTCTCTCTGATATTTAATAGACCCTTTAATAAATCCTTAAAAATATAAGCCAAAAATTTACATAAATAATGACAATTTTTTTTTCTTGCACTAAAATTTAACAAATGTACTTAAAATAATTAAAAAGAAAGCAAAAATAATGAAGAAATATTTTCAATATAAACATCAATTAAATAATATCAGCTTACGTAATGTTCTTTTTATTTTTACAAACAGTATTAATATAACGGCCCTCACCAGCTCCAGGGACTGCTGGATTCGGTTCAAAATGACAAGGCCAAAGAGTTGAATATTAGTAGACGTAAACTCGAAATTGGTTCGGCTATGCAATGACTGTTATAAAATAAACTAATAAATTTGGCCGGGATAGCCGCGTTCATAGGGCGTTGGACTCGTGCTCGTGAGAATGGGAATTTGAATCAAGCCGGCAGAAGAATACCCATGTATAAAATGGTGACTGGTGCATGTTAAATCTGTAGGGGTCACAAAGTCCTCCAAGTTCTCATAACAAATAAATGCCTCTGGGTACTAATCTAACAGTTCTCTTGTCTTCTGGATTGGGTTCAAAATGACATGGCCACGGAGTTGAATATTAGTAGTCGCAAACTCGAAATTGGGTCGGCTGTGCAATGACTGTTATAAAATAAACTAATAAATTTGGCCAGGATAGCCTGTTTGATAGGGCGTAAACTCAAAATTGAGTCGGTTGTTCAACGGCGGTCATAAAAAAAATAAAACTAATAATCAAATTGTATTTTCTGGTTTTCTTTTTAACTCTTTGCATATTTTCTAAGCCTTATAGATTTTGTAACGCAAAGAAAAAACAATTGAGAAAAAAATTCGCGAAAAAATCATTAAAAATTGCTAGTAAAATATATTCAAAATGAATCTAAAAAAACCTAATATATAATAAAACTAAATATATAGTGGCCCAGCAAGCCAAATTTTTACTCTGTGCTTAAAATGTGTTTCTTTTGTAACTTTTTCCCCTCGTTCAAAAAGTATGTGCAATAAAAGAAAGGTTCTACATAATAGTCTCATCACAATTAATATATTTAACAATAAAGTAATATTACTAAATTTTTTAATAATATAATGTTAATACTCAACAATAAAAAATAGTGAGTTTACTTTAGATGTATAGAAATGGAATTGAACTTATAAGGGCCCCCATCATTTTCAGTAGCTTAGGGCCCTATCAAGCTTAAATCCGGCCCTGGACTATATAAGTCCATATGTGATTAATAATATAACGTCTTTTTTTTTTTTTTTCTTTTCATTTTTTTTTTTTAAGAAACAAAAATTAAATTAAAAAAAAAAAGAATTTCTTTAACTTAGATAACCAAAAAGTACCAAATGATTATGATATTTTGCGAAATTAACTATGATTTAAAATTTATTCAGTTGTTTATTTTATGTATAGTTAACTCAGAATTCTTTTTTTCTTCTTCTCAATTTCAATTTGGTAGTTTTTTAACTAAAAAAAAAGTCATATGTTAGTACCAGCATTTTTTAAAATCAAGCTTAAGTTTTTAAAATTAGTTGCTATAATTTCCATATACTTCGAATCTGATTTCAACTGAAATAGTTAATAAATAAGAAACACAAACTTACGCTAAACGTAAATTGTTTCCTCATAGATACTTCTGATCACATTTTTATTTTGTCCTCACTTGCTAGGAAAGGTTGTTTTTGCCCTAGGCCGGTTACTGAAGTATAAGTAACACTAATAAAGCAGAAACGAGCAACCGATAGCGTTTAATGACAAAATAACAATAAACAAGAACTTAGAACACTGAAACCCAGCAAAAAAGTTTTTTGTTTAGAAATTTGAATGAATTTAATGCAGTTCACAAATACATGTGAGTTTTAGATTGTTCTTAATAAGCTTACTTTCTCTGAATTTCTTATGTTGATTTGCAGGGCTCGAACTCAGGAACCCTGATAGATGAAGGTTGACATAGTCGATAATTAATTCCCCACATTGGTGACCCGGACGTGATAAGATATTGTCAATATTGATGGATGAATCCACATTAAACAGTTGATATGCTTAAAAAAAAAAAACCGGTGAAGTAAATAAAGTCTCCCGGTTAATAAATAATAATGAGCGAAATGCTTGAAAAAAAAATAATAATAGTGAAAAGCTATAAAAAAATGATGGGAAAAAATAGCGAAAAAGCTATAAAAAAAATAACGAGCGAAATGCTTGGAAGAAAAAAAATTTATATATATATGATGAGCAAAAATTGAAGTTAATAAATAAAACAGCATTAATCAACTACTGGTATCTGTTCATCGAATTTTATCACAGATAAAATTCTGGAAGGGGAGTAATGTGGTGTAACTACCACTAAAAATAATAAATACCAATTCACTAGTATATAAGACATGTTAACTTGATTCTATCAACTAGTGGTAATTGTTCATCGAATTCTATCACAGATAAAATTCTGGAAGGGGAGTAGTGTGGCGTAACTACCACTACAAATATTAAAAAAATACCAAATCAATAGTATATAAGACATGTTAACTCGATCCTATCTTGAGGTACCTTTTGATAGATGAAGGTTGACATAGTCGATATATAATTTCCCACAACCCCATTACCGATCTTGGACCAAATGTATGGACATTGTGTATTAAATGATATTTCTAAACTATTTTTCTTTTACTTAATGTAGTACATATTAAATTATCTTCACAAAGTCGCAAAAATTATATTATTGAAATTATTTTTGAATTACTTATAAGTTATTTAACCACATTCAACGAGCAAGATGGCGAACAATATTTTCTTTTAAAGAATGCTATTCTAAAATTTCTTGAATTGAACAAAAAATAAACTTTACTTTTAGATAAACTTAACTAGTAAATTTTACTTGTATTGTAAATAAAAATAAAAAAACTAATTTTGGTGGAAATTTCAAACCAGAAAAAAAGTGTTCTGGGTAAGTATTAGACTGAGAATTTTCTGCACCAATGTTAAAAAATTAAGGACATTGTTACCTGTGAAGTTAACCACCTATATATGACCTGTTTGTATTGTATATTGACTTATAATTAGTCAAATTCGTCCAGAAGTGATATTGAATGCTATTCTAAATATTTTCTTTTTAAGAATCCTATTCTAAACATCCTTGAATTGAACAAAAAAAACTTTTTCATGAAATGATCTATGCTTTTATGGGCTAGAAAAGAATTAGTAAAATAATATTAAAATCTAACCTTAACTCCTTTATGATTTGTCCATATGGGTATAATACATGGATTTTTACCTTTCTTATCACTGAAATGTTTTTGTGTATTAATATTTTAAGAAATTGCTATTAATTTAATAAGGAATATATTATATAAAGGGAATTTAAAATGGTATTAAAACAATTTAATTACATAAATTTTTATTCTCATTAATTACAAAGAAATATATGAATAATATGATGTACATAAGAATAATATAATGCAAGAAATGCTGAGGGAAAAAAATTAAGGACTCACCCTTCTTTGTAAGTTAACCCCAACTTAACGAGGTTATATATGTATTTAATTTTAAGCAATAATTAAATGTATGTAAATGCTTTTAATTTCAAGTAATTTTTAAAATTTCTTCAAAATTATTTTTCAGCTGAAGGTGAGGTAAATGAAGAGCAAATCCGAAGCAAAATGAAAAATTTAGTTTTACAAGTAGGACAAATATCGATACCTGAAATTAAAGATAATGAAGTCCTTACCAGAGTTTGTAAGTATACTAAAAAGCACTGTAGTTTTGTGGAACCTAAATTTTATGCTATATTGAATTTTTCTTTTGATCAAATTTGATATTTTTTTAAAAAAAAAACATTTGTTACATGAGACACATATTTTGAAACAGTAGGCTCCATCTCTTGCTCAAAAACATTCGTTCCAAAAATTAATATAAAATCTTAAATATTTTGCATAACTAATCTTGTTTCGCTTGTAACCAAGTTATATTTGTTTAAAACAGGGTTTAAAAAAAATTGGAGTTATTGTTAAAAAAATTTAACTCGAGTGGGTTTTTTCAGTTTTTATTGGCTTTTTTTAAGACATTACCTAGTTTAACACTTTTTAGGTTTAATTTTCAATTCAAAAGTGAACAATTTTAAATAGTAATATCTAAATCATGAATTAAAATAAATGATTTTAAATTTCTCTAAAGCAACAATATTGCATTTAATGGTGTAAATGGAGTTAAATTTTGGGTTTTATTGTTTTTTTTTTTTACACCATTACCTAGTTAACACTTTTTAGGTTTGATTCAAAAGAGAACAATTTTAGTTAAAAAGAAAACTTTTGTAGGAAAATAATATTTAAATCATGAATTAAAATAAATGGCTTTAAATTTCTCTAAAGCAACAATATTACATTTAATGCTGCAAATGGAGTTGAATACGAGAACATGATGATGACATTGAGGTCTGGTTATTCTCATCGCAGTAGCAGTGACTTGGGTGTAAAATTGTTGAATATAGTTAATGGTGGTGTGGGCAATGGCACAAAGCACAACTTGATAACAATACCTCAGTTATTTTTTTATTGGACAGATGGTAAGCATAATCTTGTAATTACCGCAAGCATATAACAGGTCAGACTTTCCTTTTCTTTTTTTTTTAATGCAGTGAATTGTCGAAGTGACGAAAAGACTGCTTAATATTGTGCAGAGATTGCGATTGAAGCAATACAGCATTGTAACCAAATTCTTGGTATTGAAGTTCAAGTGCACATCTGGCTAATTGCACGTATAATGGAAATGGTAGAGATAAAAGCAATTTTAAGTGAGAAATATCTAAACATGATGTCTTATTGGTATTCTGCTTACTATTTAAATCTTTTAGAAGAAAAAATATCAAATTAATAGGTTGTTCCTGAAACCATCACATCAGCTACACGGGTGGTTAAAGGAAAAAGGTGATTAGATGCCCCTACTACCAAATTATTTTCGTTGGAATTCCCATATTGATTGTATGGATATATTTGTGAAAAACTTTCATAAGTATGTAGAAATATCAAATGAAATCCCAGATTAACTTCCTCTTGAAACATTATGAAAATCTTTGGAAATGTAGTGAATTACAAATAGGTGTTGCACATGCAAAAACTAATGTTTCACATGCGTAAAAGGCTTAGTGAAGCCAAAAATGCAAGCAGAAAAATCTAATATTGCTTGCTCTGTTAAACTTAAAACAAAAATGAACTATTAACATATAAATAAAAAATTGAAAAGAGGATGAAGCAAGCCCTTAAATCATTTCATTATCTAAATATATGACGAGTCTAAAATACATGGGTAAACATCTCAAACCTGAACAAAAACATATTGCTGAAGACTGGGTACAAACAAATCACCCAGAGTGGTTAGTATTGATGATGGGATTTAAATTATAAGATCCCACTATGTTCCCAAAATTTATGTTTTTTACTGGTGTTAGTGAAAAAATCACTATGTCACAGTGAAATGTCACTATGTCAAAGAAAAATCACTATGTCACATCAGGCAAAAAAGCAGTCTTCAGAAAATTCAGCTTTATGCAGTTTTTGCCAATTTTTGAGGACATCAAGAAACTGCCCAACAAGTTTTGAATGTGTGGAAAAAGTGTTTTTTACTTGTGGTCTGATTTGGTCAAAATTGAGGAATAGACCAAGAATTGAAAAAGCCAAAAAGACTGGTTAAATGCCGTTTTTTTTTAAATCAGAAAAGAAATTAATTAATCATTATGTAAACTTTTATTGAATAAAATTTATAAAGCAGTATAAGTTCATTTTTATTTCATATTGAGTATTTTAAAATGGTTTGAAATTTAATTAATTTTTATATTTAAATCATTATTTTGTAGCATTAAAATATAACTACTAATAAAATATTCTTGTTAGAAGAATTAAAAAATTCTATCTTTAATATTTTGTTTTCATACCTATAAACGTTTATTTTATTTGTATTTGAAAACTTTTTTATTGAGAATATAAAATAAGTACTAAGTTACTCCAGCCTGTACTCTGAACTTGTTCTGTTCAAAACAAATAACATTAGGAAACCTGAAATTGTTTTGAAAAAAGTGATTTTTTTTAATATTGAATTTAAAAAAATATTATATTAGTTTTAAGCTACATACATATTTATCTAAATACGCTAAGTTTAGAAGGTAGTGTTGTATGTTTGTGTATTATGCATTATTATTGATAAGTCAAATAAGAAATAATTAATGTAAGAAAAAACAGATTTTTATTATGTTTTAGTTTTGATTATGTTTAAAATTGCCAATTTGAGTCTGATTTTTTTTAAATCGATTTTTTGGGTTTGTGTGTGGGTCAAAGAGCCTGGTATGAAATGTGTCTCAGTGTAATAACAACAGAAATAATTGCAAAGTAAAAAAATATATTTTTCCTTTTCTAAATGTGACCATCACAATAACTACATATTTCTATCTCAGAATCTGTGTTCTCAATTTTATCAGAATTATCAGTTACCAAATATTTTTGATAAAATTATTAAATATTTCTACATTCTAATAGTTCTCAAAAATGTATACAAAAATAAGCTCTAGTCTAGATTGTGCCGAAAATGTATGTGCCAACTTGAGTATTACCTGAAAAATTTCAGGAAATGAAAAAAAAATTTAAACCATATATGAATTAGATTTGTTTTTATGATTTGCAAACTAATGATTATTAAAAAATGTGGTAATTTAAAATGTCTGTTTGCTAGCTTTATTTACTGATTAAAATATGAAAAAGTAAATAAAATTATATAATATATTAAGAACAAAAATTTAACCCTATACAACATGATAGTAATGAAATAATGTTTATTTATCAAAATATATTGCGGAGCATTTGTTTTTGTACAAACATTAGTGTTCTAAGCACTTATTTTTTTATGAGTAATCTTGACATTTATCAGTAATATTTGCAGAAAAATGAATACTTTTAAATATTAAAATTCATTTAAAAACAGATACAGTAGAGAACCGATTATCCGGAACGATCGGGACTATCGCTATTCCGGATAACTGATTTTTCCGGTTTTCTGAATCGCTACAAAAAGCCGTTTTTTTAGTGTTAAACCCAACTAAAAAAAAATATTTGGAAATAATCTTAAAAATAAGAAAAAACGATGAGGTAATACACAAATGATTATTTCTGAAATGATGGTGAGGTAAACATCTTTCAAAAAAGAAAAAAAAAATCCTAAAATCTCATGAGGAAAAAAAAATATTTTTTTTTAAATTGCGGGAAAATTTATCGAATTTCGTTCCGGTTTTTTGGTTTTCCGGTTTTCTGAATTCCGGATAACGGGTTCTGTACTTTATTATCGAATTTCTTTTTTCTGATTAAATGAACTTAAAAATATTTTTAATTGTTGCATTATTTTCCTACTTTTATATATTAACTTAGTAGTTTCTTACAGTCTCTTTGTTAAAATTTTTTTTGATAACATTATATAAGTTATTAATAATATTTTAATTTATTGTTCCTATTATTCTATTTAGTCAATTATTTTTTTGCTAATATTTTGCTTTGTTTTATTTAGTTCAAATTTTTAAAGAGGCAAACTATGATGTAAGCTTTTTTGAGATTGCAGTAGAGCACTTTAAAACCATTTGCCTGATTCATGAGAGGTCTGGGGTTGATGTAATGAGACCAGCTATTTTTGAAAATCTCAAATTTAGGTATGTTATTTATTTTTCCATTATTGACCTGTTTATATGTAATTTTATAACAAAATTTGTTGCATATAATTTTATAATTTAATTATTATAACTTGTTAATAAAATTATAATCTTTATTCTCTCTTAAGCCTAATATTTTTTATTTTATTTATTAACATAATTTAATAAATATAATTTTTATAAGAATGGCTCCTTCGAAGTAAAATTGACCAATTGCAGTTGCCATCATGTTACAGATTTTCCTAAAAATTTTTGTAGAAAAGGTCTTGTTGTACATTCCACATTTTTAATAATGTTATTTTTTTAATTACACATATTACGACTGATTTAAAAAGCATCCTTGCTTATTTCATGTGCATCAGTTCTAAAAAGGTTCAAAACTATTTCACAATTCTTTTTTCTTGCAAAATTATACAGTCGAACCTCGATTTCACGAATTTTTCGATATCTCGAAGAAAATAAAATTCCTTTCAAATTTTCTATACACTCAATGTTTAAAAAAAAACTTGATTTCTCGAATTTTTTTTTCTAATCCCTCGATAACGTGAATTTTTTTTCCATAAGTGTTGATTTTTTTTCTGAAAGTAAAAAAAACATTTTAAGAACAGAAAACCAATGCTCATAATCATAATCAATTCTCAAACAAACACTTTCTGCAGTGGACACTGTAAGGAGATTTATTGAGAGGCAGCTGAATATGTCAGAGGAGAAATTTAAAGCCATAGTCCACCTAGAAAATGTTATAGACAAACTTTCTTACACATCTCTAAAGCAAACAACAATTGAATCTTTTTAAGTGTAAAAAGTGTTTTTAGAATAAATATCAAATAGTAAATAAGGTATGTAAAGAGCATTTTTCTTTATTTTATCATTGATAACATGCGATTTTTGATAATACGAATTTTCGGTATCTCAAATTTTTTCTCCTCTCCCTTCAAGTTCGAGGTTTGACTGTATAATTAAAAATATTTTTAAACCTTATTTCAATTAGAAAAATTATTCATTATTATTTTATTCCTTGAGATAATATTTAATGGAAAATTTTAAAAGTGGTAGAGTTTCATGTGTGTCACCTGTAATTAAACTTCTTCTTTTTTTTTTTTAGATCAAATTATCATTTATTTTAGTGAAAATAGAAGATACGCTGCATAAATGTATTAAATTTTCAGATTTAAAGATAAATAATATTTTATTTTATGCAATACAAATATAGGTTTATTTAAATAATGCAGGAATGAATAAATAAATGCAGGAATAATGAATTTATAAACAATGATTTTGAAAGTCAGTTCTTACTATATTTTGATAATAAGTCATTCAACCTACTTATAATTATCCTAGTAAATTAATCAAAAAAATTGCAAAATCCAAATTAAAGAATTGAATACCTTTTAGTTAAAGATCAGTGCAATTTTGACTGTCTGCCATTTCTTGAAAAAAAAAAAATTTTTTTTTAAGCACTTAAAGTCGCTTGAGCTAAAAAAAAGACTAATTTTTCTAAAATTCTAATTTATATTGTTTGTATGTATTTTTTTCTTGTTTTTTTAATAATATGAATTCAATATTTATCTTTTTAATACCATCACAATGGATCATCGTTTGTTTCTATGTGATTATTTCAACTTGTTTAAATTTCTTAAAATATTAACTATTAATAAATATTATATATAATAATAAATATAATTATATATATTAACTGAAATTTAAAAATTTTTTTTTTAATACCTTTTAGTATTTTCTCGTACCTTAATCTTGTAATTATTCAAAGTAAAGTAATGTTTGTTTTAAAAATTAGCAAAATTGAATATATTACTTTGGTTATTAATTACAAATCATTAATTGAAATCTTTAACTTTTATAGAACGCATGAAGAATGCTTGGCCTATTACATAGCAAAGCTTTTTTTGGACAAAATGCAGTTATTGAATTTAAAACCATGCCCAATTGATCTTAGCAATTGTAAGTATTTTATTCATTTTCAGGATCCTTGTCGGTAGTTTTAAGGGTATCCCTGTAGGTAGTTACTGTATATTTTTGTCTCTTACTTTATTGGTAAGAATTTCTCCTGCTATATTTTTTTCCCCTGTTTTTTTCCATGCCTTGTGTTTATTCTGTAATTTCTTATTAAAATTCTTGCATGCAAAAATTAAATTTCATAGCTTTTTATATCGTAGCCAGATTTTTATTTTTATTCGAAAAGTAAGTAAAATTTTATATTTTGTTTAATTTTTATGAAAAAAAATGCTCAACCACAAAATAAAGGAAAACTCACTTGATGTGTATAATATAAAGCTGCATCTTTTGCATACTAAAGTGCTTTTTACATGCTAAAATTTATAAGAAATCGAACTATGTACCTTAATTTTATGTTTTTATAAAAATTCCTTAAATTCAATTTTTTGCTTCTGAAGATTTTAGAAATTGGTTCTATCTCAGTATTTTAGTTGCCTGTGTCATCAGTATGACTATTTTATTTACTAAATAAATATATAGCAGTTAAGATTGTGCATAAACAGGGGTCTGTCCAGGGTAAATTTACTACTATTTAGCAGTACCTTCACAAATTCAACTTTAGGAAAAACAATAGTTTCACAAAATACTTTTAAAAAATCAAGTTCTTATGCAAACCCTGTTCTCATTGCAGTCTATGGAAAAGAGGAGCTTTTCTGCCAACTGTCTTTTACGAAAAGGTAGCAGATGTTTGGTCAGATAGTGCAATGTGGTAAGCCTCAACGGTCGCTTATGCCATATCAAAGCAAAATTTATTTTTGCCAAGTTTTTATAAAAATGAAACGACGAGGCTCTCTATCTCTCCATAAACTTTACAAAAAGTCGAAATTCAAACATTGTTCTAAACATTTGAACATTTTCTTAAACTCTATTGTAAATTTATTCTAACAGACCTATATTTTTTTATGAAACATATTTTTCTCTTTGCAACTTTTTTCTGTATGACCTAGTCGAAAATTTTCTTATTGAAAATAACTTTTAGTGCTAGTGCTGTTAAATGCATGGTTTTATTAAATTCAAGTTGAAATTTAACTATGGATACTGAGTTTTATGGATTTATGGATTTTTAAATTTGGATACAATTTTCAGTCCAAAATTTTACAATAACAAAATTATTTTTGAATATATGAGGGAAAATGTATAGAAATTTACCAGTCATAAATAATTTTTATTTGTAGTGACAAATTTTGAAAATATTTTATTACTTTGCCATATTTTTGTGTTGATTTTTTAATAGGATTTTTATTTTGACAAATTACATCAAAATTCTCACAAGATAGGTACTAGGCTTCTCAAAAAAAAAAGAAGAAAAAAAAAACCTAGACAGACTCCTGATAAATTATTTTGAAAAATAGAGGTGGAAATAATCTATACCCTATTTTTATCCTTATATTTCAAAGAAAAAATAATAGTGAAATAGATATGAAATAATATCAACAAAGGTGACGAAAAAAAACATTGATAACAAAGCATATAAATTAAATATTCAACATCCGGGCAAGTGACTTTGAAAAAGTACTATAACAATTATTAGAAAAATCCAAGAGTAATAATATTGAATCCAGTAGTGAATTATTTCATTATTTTCTCACATGAAGCAAGTAGAACACTCTTCGAAATACTTCAGCTTTGAATTTGGAACTATATGCTTGATAGTCAGTATTTCAAATAATCAAGCTCTTAGTTTTCATGTGACATTATAATTAATTATTTAGTAATAATTATTTTAGTATTTTATTTAAAACAATTCTGTTTGCAAAACATTACTGATTTGAAATATGACAAATAATTATATTTATTTCTTCCTTTTCTGAAGCTTGGGGTGCATTTCAATTGCATCTGGTTCAACCGGCTAGTTTAAATTGCACCAATTAGAATCTCAATTTCCCAGTGAATATTTCATTAGAATTTTTATTTCTTATGAAATTATTAATTAAATGACTAATTTTTATTAATGAAGAAGTTGCAAAAAAAAAGAGATGGAGAACTATTATAGTTTTTTAATACAAATAAACGTTTGTTGTTAAAAGATTTTTTTTGAAACTCTAAATACATAAAATAAGATTAGTGAGGACTCTACTCTTTGCATTTTAACAAATTCAGTTTTTCAACCTTATAGAAAGAGGAGAGGTGTTTGGCATTTAAACAGAGTTTTTTCAACCTTTATGTATGGTAACAGTTTCAAAATTTTTTTAAAAAATTTAACTAGGAACAGCATTTTCTGGTTGGTCTAATATTAATATTTATTAGCAAGAACTAACAAAGGCAGATTTAAAAATTTTTTTAACAGAGAACTGTTTTCTTTAAAGCAATGCAAATTTGTGAACACAAAAGTACTTATTATACCTCATCTTAAAAATTTTAATCCTGTGAAGTGTTAGTCTAGAATTCTTTTGAACTTTGAGCTAGCGACTTTTTTGTAGTAAAGAACTATTTATTCCCATGTTACTCTATGAAAAATGTCGGAGAAAATTAAGTAAAGTTAAATGCTTGGAGAGTTCACCCAGTTTTATAATTTTTAAATTTAGAAGTTTGTTATTGCATTAAACTAGAGAATGATGAAACATCGGGGTTGAGCTAAAGTGAAATAAATTAAAGAAGCACTTAGGCCACTATAATTATGACATGATTCTGTAATTAGAATCAGCTTTTTAAAAAACTAATTAAAAGCGATCGCATCTAATCATGTAAGCAAATACTAGTCATAGTAGTTATCACAAAAGCTTTTACTTGTTTTACAGAAAATTGTTGTTATTACGAAAGCTTTTTTATTAGTTTGAAAAGTTCAATATAGTTTTTTTTTTCTTAAATAAGAGATTTATAGAGTTTTTTCCTTTATTTCAGCTGAACCAATCGAGAGTTTACCTTTACAATTTTTTCTAAAGCAAAGTACAAATGTCGAGGCAAAAGCAAAATTTGAAAATGTAAGTTGTATAATTCATTGCATGTACCTTAGTGTTAATATATTTTTAAGAATGGTTTAATATTGTTTTGAGTTTGGGTTTTCTATGGATTTTCCCTGAAGTGAGCTGAACTTGTAAATTCTTATTCCTGAACAAAATTCATGTAACAAGATTTATTTAATCTGTATCAACAATTTGAGGTCAGCAAATAACATTGTTATTTTGTTTATAGTATTTTGATTAGTTTCATAGTATACATAGCATACTTTGGATTTTAGTTTTTAATTTATTTATTTAAGGGAATATGCATCATTAAATGATCAAAAAATTTATGATTATTTTATATAGAACTTTTGATATTGAATTTGTAATTAGCATTTTAATTTTTCTTGAAAATTTGCCTTAATGTTAGGGTATTTAAATTATATTGAAACACACACAATATATTTGCTCAACCAAGGTTTCTCTATAAATAAAAAAAACGCACATAGATTCAACAAATTTTTTAATAACACCTGAAAAACACAGGTTTCATTTGTTTTTGCATTAAACTGAATGTGCTTGTAATTTCAATCAACTTGCAACAACTGATTGAAGTTCTTCATCTTGCATGAAGTGCTGAGCTACAAGTAATTTTTTTTTCCAGTGGAAAATGGATGATAATCAGATAATACCAAGTTTAGACTATGAGGGAGATAATTAAACATCCCATTTGAGTCTAGTAAAACATCTTGTGTACCCCGAGGACTTTGAGGAGGAATATTTCAATGCAGCAACAGTTTCATATCCAATATATGTCGTACAATTCATGCTGAATGGATACTGTTGAAATTTTTTTTTAAAAGAAATTATATTACTCCTTGTATCTTGCATTTGGTGGGATTTTCAATGGTAATACATATTTTTTTTTGTGTGGCTATAGCAAACAAAAACACAGGTTAAGATACTCTCACTAGGATGCTTGTAATCTTGCTAAATCACTAATTGCTTGATGTAACAATTGTTACTTTTTACCTTCTACTTCTACCAACATGCTACAATGTAGATTAGTTTAAAAATTGCCCGAGCCCATACCTTACATGCAACAAGTAGTGAAAAATTTGAGAAAATTGTTTCTTTATGAATCTACACCCCTTGGTTTATAAAACTGCAAATATTTCATTGCATAAGGTTTTTAAAAGATTTTTTTTCTCCAAATTTTTTCTTGAAGTGCTTTTGGCAACATTTCACATATGTTTCTATTATTATTTTGTAAGATAATGAAGGAAGTTGTTGTTACTAATCCTTCATGACCTAGCAACAGCTAGATCTGATTCATCCAGGAGTCCACAGAGAAGGGATGGAGCAGCTTATTTTAATCTAAGAGACCAGAGCACCCGAAGGGAGAAGACTGACTTGGCTCCTTCGCCTATGTGCCTTAGCTGAGCATAGTGGAATAGCCTTCACGCCTTGGGAAGCCCTACCAAGAATATACTTCGCCCATTCCGTCCTGGGGCACCCTCCCGCCACAATGAGGCGTCACACAGACCTTGAGAGGGCAATGATGTGATAAGTTTCTTTTTATATAAAAGTCAGATTAAATTATATTTAACTATTATGGATTATTTTTAAAACTATTTAATAAATTTCTAATCTTCTTAGACGTTTTAATAATCTTTGACAATTTAAAAATTTTCCTTTAAAATTTTTGAAAAAAAAAATGAAAAAAAAAGCTCATTAAAATTTATCCTGGAGAAATAGTGAAAGCCTTATATAGCTAAAATGTCAAAAACATCACTTTGTGAAATACTTTTGCAAATTCTTTTTTCAAAATATAAAAATTATATTGATGTTTTAATGATTTTTTTTCTTCAGAATTTAAACTCTGGTGACCTACTTTTTGTTGAAATGATCAATACTGAGGGAAAAGGGCTTCACTCTCAAGAGCTGGGAAAACTGAGAGTGATCGCGAAAGTGAATGATATATTCAATTTAGAGGAGGACTTTGTATATCATCTAAACTGTAATGTAAGTAAAACAAAGCATTGTCTTTGAGGTTTCCTTATCACACTTGAACCTCTCTTTATCCTGAGTCTTACTGAATGAGAGATTCTTAGTTTAGCAAAGAGTTTTAAATTGACTTTTTCACATTGCTGCATTTTTTTTTAAAAAAGTGATGATTAAAGTTTATTAGAAATGTTTTTTTTTAAAAATGTGGTGTCATAATAAAAATAGTGATTAAGAAAAGTCGATGGAAAAGGCAAAAGATAAACAGTAACACGACAAAATTCTACCAGAAATGCTCCATTGAAATACTATGCCATAATAAAAACAGAAAAATAGCTGAAACGAAACAACAAAAAAAAAATCTTTCTTAATTCTTAAAATGAAAAGTTTTGAAAAAATGACAACATTGACTTGTCTGAATATAATTTAGAAAGAGCAGCAATTCGAGAACTTCTCTTTGCAACTT